AGGAAGCATCTTTTGAGGAAGGTCAGCGTCTCGATGAGCTGTGCGACTTCTTGTCCCGTTGTCTGTTAAAAGCTCTAACAGATAGTTGACTTTACCGAATAGAACCGAAGAGTATGGATCCTTGCAGTCACGAAAGCTTTAAATCTAGAATCAACTTGATATCTTAGCAGGTAAAGCCCACCGAGACATGAGCGTCTTTTGCATACCTGTGAACCCCGTATCAGTGCCTTGCCTTATTACAGATCGATTCAGACATTATTGGCCACCCCGTGCCCCTTATAAATCTCAACGTTCATCCTACAAGGTCCCATCACAAAGGAGAAACACAAACAAATAGACAATTTATTACGATTACAATTTGTTGCCCATATTGAAACGGCTGTATGCCGTATGAACCTGAAAACTCAATTTCCCCTGTGAAGAATACGGGCTGAACCATATGGGTTTACATGTATCCTACTATACACTAAACTATACACTGCACTATACACTTCACTATACACTACACTATACATAACTATACACTACACTATACACTACACTATACACTACTATACACTACTATACACTACACTACTATACACTACACTATAACCTACACTATACACTACACTCTACGCTACTATCCACTACTATCCACTACTCTACACTACTATACACTACTATACACTACACTATACACTATACACTACACTATACGCTACTATACACTACACTATACACTACTATACACTACACTACTATACACTACACTATACACTACTATACACTACACTATACACTACTATACACTACACTACAACCTTTTTCGGCTTGACCGAGGATCTAAAGGAGGTGGAATTGCAATCTATGTTCGTAATGCTATTGCATGTTCACTAGCTCACTCCTTGTTTAAAAAAAATGTTGCTTTGAAGGTCTGGCTCTCAGAATAACTCTCCCAAATAATCAACAGATATTGGTAGTGTGCTGCTATCGACCACCTAGTGGGAAGGATGTTGAAGCTGCATCTGCACTGAGAGAGCTTTTTGGGGGCCTCCCTCAAGGTGAAATAGTTTTAGTGGGTGATCTAAATTGGAATTGACTAAACCCGCCAGCCGTGGCCACAAATTTTGCAGATGAATTTAATCTGTTTCAATTAATAAATGTCCCCACAAGACCCAACCTAAAAAATCCGGGACAGTCATCTCTGCTTGACGTCCTATTGACAAATGCCCCTCACAATTTCACACTGACTGGTGTTCTGGGTAATAACCTTAGTGATCACTCCTTCATTTTTTGGGTGAGATCATCAGCCAGACCCATAGCCCCCCTAAATTGGTTGAGAAGCACTCTATGAAACACTTCAGCACTCAGGCATTTACTAATGATGTGCTTCACTCGGATATTGACAAGGTCTGTGATATCCCCAACCTGACTACGGCTTGGGAGACCTTCAGGTACACGTTTCTCCAAATTCTTAATAAACATGCTCCGTTGGTTAGATTTAAAACTAAAGGCAACCGCCCACCATGGTTTGATCCTTTTGATTACAAAGCTCATGAAACTAGGGACAAGGCTTGGGCATGTGCTCAGAAAAGTAATTTGGTCAATGACTGGCTAGAATACAGGATTTTAAGGAATAGATGCGTCAAAAAATACGGCATGCAAAAATGCCTACTTTTTCTCCACTCTCCTGGAATCACATGGAAATGCCAGGGTTTTTTGGAAAACATTCAAATCTGTCGAAAAGGCATCCAAAACAGACAATCTGCCCGTTGAGCTTAACCGAAATGGGGAATATTTTTCAGATCCCCAAAAAATAGTTGACAATTTTAACCTTCATTTTTCTGAAGCTGGTAATCTTTTTGATAATGTATTGGGAGTCACCCTTGATCATGCAAATTCCTACACCCCTGTCCAAACATTAAACGAATCTAGTTTCCAGCAAATCCACGAAAGTAATGTTCTGAAACAACTGTCCTACCTCAAAGGGTCCTCCACTACCAGAGCAGATAGTATTCCCGTCTTTGCTCTACTAACTGTTGGTCACCTAATATACAAACCTATAGCCCATATTTTCAACCTGTCCATCAAAGAAGCATCAGTTCCTCTAGAATGGAAACATTCCTATGTCCGTCTACTTCACAAAGGGGGCCCTAAAGATGATTAAAATAACTACCGACCTATCTCAATTTTGTCCCCGTTGATGAAAATTTTAGAAAAATTATTGACCTACCAAATTAGCAGTTTCCTGTCCACCAACAATCTACTACATCTAAAACAATCTGGGTTCCGAAAAAAATACAGCACCACATTTGCTGCATTAGACTCTGAATCACATTTACAGTAGCCTTGATAATAAGCAGTACTGTGCCTGTCTTTTTCTAGACCTGTCCAAAGCTTTTGATACAGTAGACCACAACAACCTGCTTAGTAAACTAAGTTGCCTCGGTTTTTCCGAAAATGCAATAAAATGGTTACAAAATTACCTCTTTTCTAGCACCCAAACTGTATTCACAGATGGTTGGAGGTCAAACAGTGTTAATGTAACAAAAGGGGTTCCAGAGGGTTCCATTCTCGGCCCCCTTTTGTTCTCTCTTTATGTCAATGACTTGGGCAATGACCTGGATCATTCCAGGGTAAATCTTTTTGCAGATAACACGATACTGATTACTGCTGGCCGCTCTCCGGATGACGTGATTGCTAAGCTACAGGGTGATTTCAACAAACTACAACATCAGCTAGTTGCTCTTAAACTAGTCCTGAATACCTCCAAAACCAAGGTGCTATGCTTCTTACCAGGACAAAAGCAGGAAGTTATTTTTCCCCAATTACATTCCTTAAATAATTATCAAATAGAGCAAGTCAAGATCTATAAGTATCTTGGGGTAATCCTGGATTCAAAACTGAATTTTGAAGTTCACATTGATCATATTGGTAAAAAGACAAAAGATAAAATTGGTTTTCTGTATCGACACAAGCACTGCTTCCCCCCAATGTTCCGTTTGGAATTGATAAAAGCTACCATACTGCCTCTACTTGACTACTGTGACATCGTGTATAAATCAACCCCAAGTACTGTACTGAAGAAGCTTAATTCCATCTATCACTCTGCCTTTAGATTTACATTGAACTGCTCATATAGGACTCACCACTATGACCTCTACATTGGGTCAAACTTAACATCTCTTAATGTTCGACGGCCTGTGGACCAGATCTAATTTATTCACGATGTACTTACAAAAAAAATCTGCAGACTACCTGCTGGATCTCCTCTGTTTCAAAGAACAAATTTGACCTCAGGTCTTCGCTCATTTACTAGCTTCACATTCCCTATTGCCGTACAAAAACTGGACGAAGGGCCTTTGCTATTGATGCCCCCAGGGTCTGGAATGCTATTGCCAATAAGCTGCAACTTAAATAGCTACCAATGAGATCTTCTCTCAAAACTGCTCTAGAGGCTTAAAATAAAATAAAATGTTTCGCTTCGGATGATGCTGCAAAGTATTATCTGTATTTTGATTTAACGTGCTGATCTTAAAGGTGCATTGAAAAATTTGATACTCCGAATGATGCTTCTGTTGTTGTGGAGAAACTCATGCAGCCAGCTATGGCTCTAGGATTTGGTGTTACATGTAATTTACGTAGTTCATTGTAAAAATTCGGTCACAGTCCCTATGATCACTGTTACGTTGCAATTATGGCTTTATTTTTTGGTGATTTAGAAAAGTTTTTTGGTTCGGACATGTTTGTTTTATTGTAGTACGGAGTTAGACTGATGGCCTTAATCTAACTTTTCTTGTGGTGGTTGTTGTTGTTTGACTTGCATCCCACTGGGATTTTTTGCACACAGCGTTGGTGTACGGTGCTTTTTTCAGGAATATTTTGCTGTTTTTTTTTCATGGATTCTCTGTTTGCACAGTCACACATAGTCACTTTAAGATGTTTTCTTGTTCGTGTTTTTGTTTTTTTGTTTGTTGTGGTTGCACCCGATTCAAGGGCCGAATGGCTCACAGGGCTATACCAAAATAAATAAACTGAAAAAAACTGAAAAAAATACACTACACTATACACTACTATACACTACACTATACACTACACTATACACTACTATACACTACACTATACACTACTACACTATACACTACTACACACTACACTATACACTACTACACACTACACTACAATATACACTACACTATACACTACACTACCATACACTACAATACACTACACTATACATTACAATACACTACACTATACACTACTATACACGACACTATACACTACACTATACACTACACTGTACACTACACTATACACTACAATATACACTACTATACACTACACTATACACTACACTATACACTACTATACACTACACTATAATACACTACTATACACGACACTATACACTACACTATACACTACACTATACACTACACTGTACACTACACTATACACTACACTATACACTACACTACACACTACAATATACACTACTATACACTACACTATACACTACACTATACACTACCATATACACTATATACTACACTATAATACACTACTATACACTACACTATACACTACTATACACTACACTATACACTACCATACACTACACTATACACTACACTATACACTACTATACACTACACTATACACTACTATACACTACACTATACACTACCATACACGACACTATACATTACACTATACACTACTGTTCACTACACTATACACTACTGTACACTACACTACTACATACATGTCAACCCCTTATCAGTGCCCTACCTTATTACAGACCAAGTCAGACTTTATTGGCCATCCCGTGCCCCTTGTAAATCTCAATGTTCATCCTACAAAGTCCCATCACGAGGGAGAAACACAAACAAATAGAAATGTTTTTTTTTATTATAAAACAAAAAAAATTTGCCCGTATTGAAACGCCACCCCCCACCAACGTCCCTAGAACGACAAAATTCCGGTGGCTCGTGACGTCACGCCGACGTGAATGTTTGACGTCACCGCTCGTGGTGTGGCGATGACGTCGTGTCACCCAGGGGGAGGGGCCAGGGGTTGCCGATGCCGGGTTGAGAGAGATCGGGGGGCTGACGACGGTGGTGGTGGACGTGGTGGTGGTGGACAATCGGAGTCGCCACACGGTGAGAGGTGACGACGGTGGTGCTGGCGGTGGTGGTGGTGGACGTGGTGGTGGACAATCAGAGTCGCCACACGGTGAGAGGTGACGACGGTGGTGGTGGACGTGGTGGTTGTGGACGTGGTGGTGGTGGTGGTGGACCTGGTGGTGGCGGTGGTGGTGGCAGTGGTGGACGTGGTGGGGGTCTGAATTGGTCTGCAATAAGGTAGGGGGCACTGATAAGGGGTTGACAGGTGTGTAGTATATGACACCAACAGTGAACCTCAGTGGACTCTCACCTGGTTAATTAAAGGACACCAATAATGAAACCGTATGGTCTATCACATGCTTAAATATAGGACACCAATCGTGAACCTGAGTGGTCTATCACCTGGTTAATTGAAGGACACCAATAATGAAACCGTATGGTCTATCACATGCTTAAATATAGGACACCAATCGTGAATCTCAGTGGTCTATCACCTGGTTAATTGAAGGACACCAATAATGAAACCGTATGGTCTATCACATGCTTAAATATAGGACACCAATCGTGAACCTGAGTGGTCTATCACCTGGTTAATTGAAGGACACCAATAATGAAACCGTATGGTCTATCACATGCTTAAATATAGGACACCAATCGTGAACCTGAGTGGTCAATCACCTGGTTAATTGAAGGACACCAATAATGAAACCGTATGGTCTATCACATGCTTAAATATACGACACCAATCGTGAGCCTGAGTGGTCTATCACCTGGTTAATTGAAGGACACCAATAATGAAACCGTATGGTCTATCACATGCTTAAATATAGGACACCAATCGTGAACCTCAGTGGGCTCTCACCTGGGTAAATAAAGGATACCAATATTGAACCTCTGTGGGCTCTGGACATACGGAAATATTTTTTCGTATCTCTGAAAGTTCCAAAGTCGAATGTTTATAAGTTGAGGAGTCCCTGTACTTCATTTCATTCTGTTATCGTTGTGTAAGCTACGTCAAGCGCATTGAGTGAAAGCGCTCCTTAAACATAGGTATTGGTTAAGTTAGGTTAGGGTTATGTTAGGTTAGGTTTAGGTTAATAATGAAAAACTATTATTTGTGAAATACTTGAGTGCCTGTCAAGCATATTATCACAGATAAGTGAAGATGTTTTGTATTATAGTCAGCGGCGGAGTCAGGATTTTGAATTTGGGGGGGCTGACTTCAATATTCTGAGATATCTCAGTGTGTTTATGTTTTCCAATGGGTGCCACAAATGTATGAAACACATTTTATTGGATTTGAACGCGGAGTTTATTAATAGGTCGGAGCCGCCGATGTGGCTAATAAGTTCGATAAGTTCGAAAGGCTGCCGCTCAAGCAGCCTGCTGGGCAGCACACGAGGTGGCAGCCTGCAGGGCAGCACACAAGGTGGCAGCACAAGGTGGCAGCCTGCTGGGCAGCACACGAGGCGGCAGCCTGCAGGGCAGCACACAAGGTGGCAGCACAAGGTGGCAGCCTGCAGGGCAGCACACAAGGTAGCAGCACACGAGGTAGCAGCACACAAGGTGGCAGCACAAGGTGGCAGCCTGCAGGGCAGCACACAAGGTAGCAGCACAAGGTAGCAGCACAAGGTGGCAGCACAAGGTGGCAGCCTGCAGGGCAGCACAAGGTGGCAGCCTGCAGGGCAGCACACAAGGTGGCAGCCTGCAGCATTTTGTAGCAGCCGGATATCCGGTTATCCCGATTACCGACTTTTCCAAAATTTCAGGGGGGGCTAAGCCCCCCCCCAGCCCCCCCTGTGGCTCCGCTCCTATTTATAGTTCCCCTGTCTATATTTGGTTGAGAAAAATCGAGTGAAAGGAAGTGTATTTGTGATCCCTCTGTGAAGTGCTTTGCTCTGTTTGAGACCACCAAACTCCGCCTCTATGAAACACAAAACATTACAAATTTCAACGTATAAAGTGCAATACAAATTTCAATGTATGCCTTGTCTAAGAACGTCAGGGCGGGGGTGCAGAGAACAATGGAAACATTTTGACGGAGAGACAGTCGGTCATGGACAGAGGAAAAAGGAAAGTCTTGAGCCTGGACTTGAATAGTGGGCAGGGAGTCGAGGGCACAGGAGGGAATTCTCGTCAATGAGGGCATTGGAGAGGATTGAGTAACCTCCGACGAAGCGTGTTGGCTAAAACTAAACCACGTTTTTACTTTACCAGGTAGTGGCCCACTGAGCTATATAGCTCTTTTTCAGATGCGACCTTTGCCATCACAAATGATAGCCCAACGAAGTGGTTTTGCATCATGTGAACATTTTTCGCGGTAGCCAACATACTCTAAATGCATCTTTCTAAATGTGAAGGGGGAAAAAAAACACGCCACCATGGAGGGAGAGAGACGCGCAAACTACAAGCATACAGCAGGGGTCGGGGATCGAACCCACGACCTCCTGTACACCAGGCGAGGTAGTTAACATCTCGCCGCCGCGACTGGAGGCTTGAAAGCAGGGAGCGTTGGTTGCTGGAGCAGATAGTGCATGGAGGGGAGCAAAGCGAGATGAGGGAGGAGCGAGTCTGTAGACGACTTTGAAGGCTGCGAGTGCAATCTTGACGCTTGAGCAATACCTTCAAACCTTCTACTGAATGTTTAATGTTTTCGCTGAAGCCCCGGAAGGTGAATGGCAATGACAGGACGGCCTTGCAGGGTCATGTTCATGGAACCGATGCGGCAGAAATATCTCTGTATATCCAACTGCCTGCCGTATCTATTTAACATTACTGCACCACCCCCCCCCATATTGCTCGAGGAGCATTCCTCCGTGCCGTTCTGCAATGACGGGCTGTAACAGATGCAACGCAACAGCGGCATTAGGTACATAAACACGGACGAGACCTTCAACTTAAAGCACTTCACACGGATATGTGCCTCATGTCTGCATGCATAATAGTGGTTCTGGGGTGAGTCGAATAAAACAAACCCGCTTAATTCCAGCAAAATGCTGCCATTGATAGCCCACAGGCAGAAGTCGTCACTTGGTGAAATGAGGGGGCTCACCAAGCACCCTTCAGAGGCACTGATGAATTCGTAGCACAGATGGGGAGCTGAAAAACACAAGAGGCTGGTATAATGCACTACGATCTTCTCAGAATTTATATATTTCGAAAAGGAATTAACATTTGTGGCATGCATTACATACACAGTGTAACTGATAGTATCTGCAACTACATTATCCATACGTATTGGTATCTGCAGGCTGCAAATTCTACACTGGTCTACAGCCAAAATGCTTCCGAAATAAATGTAGTCCAACGTTACTAATTCTGGGTCACTGAGAATGAAAATGATGCTTAAAATTGATTGGGTCTAGTTTTCAAGATATGCTACTGGGCCGGTATATACGACCCTTGACTTGGGAATGGCGGAGGATAAGTGAGTTATAAAGGGAAGGGATCTCAATTTAAACCAGAAATGACTAAAGTACATTTTTAACTGGATCTATGAATACATCTATGACTGGGTTTGGACAGTACTTGCTTTTTCAGCAAAACAATGAATGATGCAATCCGAACCTGGTATTGTATCATGCACGATATGAATTGCATCATGTTATTCCTAGAAGTCATGGATGATGCAATCATAATTAGACTTACATCCCTCTGCTGAACAAATTGCTTTGCCATCAATTCCAGTTGGTCATGCAGTCCATATGAAGGAAACCTATGACAACATGAAACAACTTTTGAGGTGCATAAACTGTGACCAACATCAGTGGCAGCTTTGTGGCGATTTTGGATATGTAAAGTGCTGCTGTTTTCTCTGCGAATGGGATAGTCGTGCGAGAGATTCCCACTACATCAATATAGATTTAGCACTTCAACAGTCATTGGAGCCTGGGAGGGAAAGTGTTCAGCATCCCCACCACTTGTTGAAAAAAGGAGGATTTTGTTACCACCCTTACACATCAAGCTGGGTCCGATGAAGAACTCTGGCAAAGCCATGGACAAAACGCAAGCAGCTTTCAAGTACCTCCGTGGAAAATTTCCAAGGTTAAGTGAAGCTAAGATAAAGGAAGGTGTCTCTGTTGGTCCTCAGAGATTCGTTAACATCTTCGAAATTATGCATTTGACAGTGCACTGTGTGGCAAGGAAAAGACGGCATGGAATGCCTTCCAGTTAGTGGCAAACACAGGTTGCTTTTTACAGTAGGATATATATTGGTCTATTTATGCCAATTTGGCACAGTAAAAGCGGACTTAAAACAAACAAACACCTGAAACAGAAGGTTATACGATGTGCAACAATAAACCATTTTTTAAAATGACGATAAGTGATTATCCGGAATTTTTGAAAATCTGAAGCCCCACCTCGAAGCCACCAGACAATCGATGATCTGCGCATAACCACTATACTACTATACCAGTAGAACCCCCCTGAATGATGGTGCAAACACCAGCAGCCTAGCGCTAGCTTTGCCTACATTTAGCGCTGATGAACTCTTTGAGTCCAGGGGAAGCCCCTGGACAAATAGCTGTGACTTTCTGCACAACAGCTAGAGAGGTCCCACTTGCACACACACACAAACCTTGCTCACCTCACCCTAAATTAGTTATTAGGCACGTTCAGTTCCACATCGTGCCGTACAACCATCACCACGTGTCCACAGTTACCGTTGTCCCCCGCCCCCCCCGTGTTCATTCTCTTGGTAAAACCCACGGTTCAGAACACGCGCTCTCAATATGCCGAAATACAGCTTCACATTTCCGACCGCAACGCTACGGTCGCCCACAACCGGTGCCAGATTTCACTCTCCGGGAAACTCTGGGTATAGCGCGACACCCGAAGGCAGGCGCACTCGAAGGACTCTGGGCAGGCCACCAGACCACTCCCTTGCTCGCTCACCTCTGCTCAGGTGGCTCCCCCACCAGGCTCCCTGGAAAACAGAGCAGGGAAATAAACTCCTTTTAAAAAGTTTTTTAAAACAACGGTTCTATTAACAACTTCGTTTAACTCGCGGTCGAGAAGTGCGTCAATGGCGCCTGAGGGTTGTGGCGCCTGCTTTTTGTGCGAGCCGATTCAACAGTTTAGGAACCGCGGCGTTTTTGACCTACACAAGAATATATAATTAATAAGCCGTCCATACAAAAATTGTAATTGCTTGAAAGGAGGCAATTAATTGATTATCCGATGCCGATTTTGATACAGGCATGCATTGTCACCGGATCTGAGTAAGTGTGCAAAATTTGGAATTGATTGGACAACAGAAAGTAGACTAACTTTTGATTACAAGATTTGACCATGGCAACCACAAGTGAAGTTAAATAAAACCATTGAAAAGCAAAACCCCTTTATGCTCTCGCGCTACCCATAGGACACCCTCAACTTTATAGTGAGTGTAAAAGGATTAAGTTAGTCTCCCCGCCCCCCCCCCCCCAACTGCTTCTTCCTATAATGCCAACACCTCTGTGCTGGTCGCTGGCAGGCCGTGTGATGTCCTCCTGGGCTATGGTACTGCCGCACTCAAGCTGCTCCACCCTTTGGCTTTGGCGCTTCCTCCTATATATACGTATAGCTCCCCTGCCTATTCACTGCTCCCAGCCCATTGGTTGATTCGACTCATCACCGACGGGGGGGGGGGTTCAATCACCCACAACCGGGGAGACTATTAGCTCTCTGCATGCAGGACCATTCTGAGCCGATCGATTATTCAGCCTCTCCATGGCCAATCGGCTTACGACTATGGGGAAAACTCGCGCGCAACAAAACGGGTCTTTCTGATTCTGATTGTTTAGCGCATGGCCCCTCTGCTGCAATTGCATTGCCGCACTCGGCGTAGATTGTCCGGCCGCACACTCGTGGGACCGTGCTCGTGAACGCCGCATCAACTTTCTTTCTTGCGTTTAATTTGCCCGTTTCCCGGTGGTTGGCTGGGCACGGTGCCAAGGAAGTCCCCCAACGCGTGTTCACGTAAACACGTGGACACGCGCGTGCTTGTACCGCCCCCCCGCCCCCGCCCCCGCTTGCAGGGGCGCGATGTCGGACGAGGGGAAGCTGCTGCAGTGCCCGCTGTGCAAGTGGGTGCTCATCAGCCACACGGCGCTGCAGGACCACATGAAGAAGCACGGTCGACAGACCGAGGTGGAGTACTTCCAGTGCGGGTGGTGCTCCTACAGCACCTACTGCCGGCGCACGCTCAGCAACCACGAGAGGATCCACACGGGCGAGAAGCCCTACAAGTGCGCTACGTGCGGCAAGGCCTTCACCGAGATGGGACCGCTCAATAAGCACAAGCGGACGCACACGGGCGAGAAGCCTTACAAGTGCACTACGTGCGGCAAGGTTTTCGCGCACTCCGGCACCCTCAAAACGCACGAAAAGTCGCACACCTCCGAGAAGACCTACAAGTGCCCCGTGTGCACCAAGGTGTTCGCCAGCCCGGAGAGCGTTCAGAGCCACCGGGCGGTGCACAACGGCAAGAAGCCGTTCGAGTGCGACGCGTGCGGCAAGGCGTACGCCAACCTGGGGTTCTTGGAGCGCCACGAGATGACGCACGCCGAGGAGAGGCCGTACGTGTGCACGGTGTGCGATAAGTCATTCACGCACGCCAAGGACCTACGCAGCCACCAGAGGGTTCACCTGCGTAAGAAGAAAGGCTACAAGTGCAAGCGATGCGAGAGGTCGTACACCAGGCTGGGCGCCCTCCGAACCCACGAGAAGACGCACACCAACGACGCGCCGCACGTGTGTTCAGAGTGCGGTGAGGTGTTCACGGAGCTGGACAGCCTGCGTCAGCACGAGCGGTCTCACGAGGAGCAAAAGCCACTGCTGTGTTTAGAGTGCGGCGACGCTTTCACGGAGCTGGACAGCCTGCGTCGGCACGAGAGGACTCACAAGGAGCAAAAGCCACTGCTGTGTTCAGAGTGTGGCGAGGCGTTCACGGAGCTGGACAGCCTGCGTCGGCACGAGCGGACTCACAAGGAGCAAAAGCCACTGCTGTGTTCAGAGTGCGGCAAGGCGTTCACGGAGCTGGACAGCCTGCGTCAGCACGAGAGGTCTCACAAGGAGCAGAAGGCAACGTCATCAAACATTAGGCAGCAGCAGGAGGACAGTGACACGGGTACAAACCCGCGTGGTCTGGAAATTTGCTAGATGCTCCTCATGCGTGGTGTGAGATGAGGAGTGGGGATTATGGTCAAATGATACATCTCTGGAATCACCAGAGGACACTCGTGGCGAAATTAACTTCTAAGATTTTCTCCAAACATGTATCTGCCGTAACTCACAGACGCGACGTGTGTGCGTGTGTGTGCATGTGTGTGTGCATGTGTGTGCGTGTGTGTGCGTGAGATAGAAAACACATTCGGATTCAGAATCTTTATTTATCCTGGAGAAATCCGATGAGTTATGACGCTCTTTTTCACAGATGTCCAATAGGGGCAGGTCAGAAAGTTGCAACAACAAACACGATAGGAGTGCAATGTATTGGAAAGGTAAGCAAGTCACTAAAATAAATTAAATAGATAAAGTATCAGAATCAGTTCTAATTGCATAAGTACACCAATTTCCCAAGCTTGGGCAAGGCAGCAGAACAGCATCAAAAACAGTCCCAGACCACACCAAGACAACACACAGTCCCTCAATAAAATGGCGCATTAAAAGTGAACTATTGATGTATGTATGTTGAACTTCTTTCGCACCGTGCACAGCCCACCCTGATAATCGGACGTACGGATAAAGGTGAAAGTTACAAATCACATTTGCAAATGCAGTTTTATGCAGCGCTAATCCCCGTCTTGAGGATATGTTTTGAAAGAAGATTTGATGCTCCACTCGTCAAACACTGGAGGATCCTCTGTGGCAAGAAGTCAGAATCTTTATTTATCCTGGAGAAATCCGATAACCTATGAAACTTTTTTGCACGGATGGAAAGCCGCCCTCTCTGTCTTCAAGACATGGCCAGAGCGCCGCACTCCAGCAAGAACCACGTCTGGCAGCTCCCCGGGGGGAGGGGAGACACACAGCCCCGTCGACTTACACCTGAGATTGTGTCCTCTTGAAACCATGCCCGGTGGTCATCGACAGCCCTTCACGGTGAATCCATCTCATCATCATCATTAGACTTCCTTTGCCAGTACCAAAATGTAATCATAGGGGTTTTCCCCCTTTTTCTGGCAACAAAACTGAAATCTTTTTTACGAGGCTTCATGTCTGCATTAACCACAATACCTGCAGTCAAAATGCAAACAAAAACATACTATGATAATATATGCATTGTCCTTGAAACTGATTGGTCCACACCAAGGGACGGCTTTCTTTTGAGCCTCGACCCAATTGGTGCTCGACCAGATGACGCCAAAAGGCGTGAATCCATGTTCAGATGTTCACCGGGGGGGGGGGGGGGGGGGGGTGAGCGGTAAGCCTGGGCCTCTTGAGAGTTGATGAGATATTAACTCCCTCGCCTATTATGCAGGAGATCGTGGGTCTGATCCCGACCCCGACGCCTGTTGTATATTTGGAGTTTGCATGCCTCCCTCTCTCTCCCCATGGTTGCGTGGATTTTTCTCCGGGTCCTCTGGGTTTTCCCTCCACATTTAGAACACTATTTAACACAATGTTTGTTATTGAGTAGTAAATGTTATTTCGTAATTGCTTATGCCTAAAAAGTTTAGAAAATGTCCGTTTTTCCCCACAAACTTTGCTTTTGTGACCAGGACAGTGATCTTCTGAAAATTACTTATTTTCAATGATAAAACGGGCGAATTTGTGTCTTTTCGTTCACATAAAGTCAGAAAAAACAACAACATATGAATCAACATTAACATGTATTTATACTAAAGTAATACAAACATGACTACAAATGATTTACAAGTGAGTAGTATTTCGAGATTTACGATTATACTGTAAATCACTTTCACGAATCAGCCCCCAAATGTAGTCTCCCATCATGTTCTCGTTATACTGTCCTTAGTAGCGGCATTCAAAGTCCAGTATATCCTGGTGGAAGCACTCGCCTTGCTCCTCCGAGCACACGCCCATGTTCTTGAATTTTTCAATATGAGCATCCTACAGCCCATTGTGCCGTAGTTCTTCACCAGAATCTCAACCAGCTCAACGTAGTTTTCGACCTTGTGATTGCCCAGGAAGCCACGAACCACTGCGACAAAGCTGTTCCAAGCCGCTTTCTCCTTACTAGTGAGCTTCTTGGGGAATTCCTTGTACTCGAGGATCTTCTTTATCTGTGGTCCGACGAAGACACCGGCTTTGACCTTTGCCTCGGACAGCTTAGGGAAAAAGTCTTGAAGGTACTTGAAGGCTGCCGACTCCTTATCTACAGCTCTGACAAATTGTTTCATGAGGCCTAATTTGATGTGCAGTGGTGGCATCGGAACCTTCCGGGGGTCCACCAGTGGTTCCCACTTGACGTTGTTCCTCTCTATCAGAGAACTCAGTTCGCTGTGGCCAGTCCCGCCTGTGGTTCTTGCGCATTGGTGTCTCAATCTTTTGTAGTCATTTTTGTATTACTTTAGTATAAATACATGTTCATTTTGATTCATGTTGGTTTTTTCTGACTTTATGTGAACGAAAAGACACAAATTTGCCCGTTTTCTCATTGATATTAGGTAGATTTCCAAATATCACTGTCTTGGTCACAAAAGCAAAGTTTGTGGGGAATAGCCACTTTCTGTACTTTCGAGACATAGGTAATTAGGAAATAACACTACCCAGGAACAAAAAAAAATGTTACACAGTGGAATCAACATCGCCACGCATTTAGAGGATTTGGCTGCCGCTATCAATTTCCATGCGATAAGCCACGTCGTTAAGCTATCATTTGTGGCCAGGTCTCTTAGTGGGCCTTACCTAGAACCAGGTATGAATACTCATACTCTTTGGGTCTTTCGGTAAAGTCACATAGATCGGTATCAATGTTGAACAAGCCAAACATGCTAATCGGAGGTGGCAGAATGGAAACTTCAGGGTTATCATAGCAGTCTTTTGATAACTGAAGGAAGGCGTCGGGGTCTGGCCGACTGCATCTGACTGCATCTCGTATCTCCAAGAAGCACTGTTGACTTCTTACGGCACGAAAGAAGTTCAACATTCGAGCAGTGCTCAACTTACGAACACAATTACGGTAGTTCGTGAGGCCCGTTCATAAGTGGAACAGTTCATAGGTCAGAACACAATCATGTACTGTCTTTTAAATGTCCATACGAAATGCGTTATGGTTAAACAAAAAATGGAAGCATTGTTATAACTCACAAGAAGAAATATTGTACATTTGCATGAAACACTGTAAACAAAATACTTCATAGTAAATAAAACATAAAATAAAGTAGCAAATAGAAACATCCGTTTTATTTTCACCTACCTTGAGTCCTGATGCTGGCTTATTACAGACAAATTCAGACCTTGTTGGTCACCCCCATGGGTGGCAAGATGAGGTTTAAAACAATTAGGTTTGATAAGGTGTAAATAAAAAAAACCTCAATATCACGAAGGGCCAGTTATGGTGAGGTTTTGAGGTTCATTCTAAAAAGACGCCATTTTGGTTTTTGCAGGAATTCTGACTGAAGTAACAGACTGCGGAAGGCTGGAGCCCGGAAATCATAAATCTCGCCATTACCTGAGTTACCAGCGTCATCAAGCGAACCCAAATTCCACCACGAGCAGGATCATGGATCAGGACCTGGATGAGGATTTACTCGATTCCAAAGAATGTGATAGTGATGTCGTAATTGTGATGGAGAAGAATGGAGTGGCCGACGCGGAGAATGATGGAGTTGCCGACGAGGCGTTGGCGAACGCAGGGAAGGCCAGAGGACGCCCGATGGGCCAGTTTTGGCACTACACCGATGATCCGGAACCTTACAAGTTGAAGAGTGCCATCTGCAAACATTGTCGCACCACATTCAACCATCACAAGAAGAGTGAGCGGGGCGATGAGGCACCTGAATGCATGCGCCGCTTTTCGGAGGGCAATGAATGGCACCGAGATAGGTTATCATCCCGAGTGGTCTGCGTCGAACAAGAAGCGGGCGAAGCCATCGAAGGCAAGCGACAGCTCAACTCCATCTACATCGAACGCTTCGTCGATGAAGTGAGGATCGATCAAAGATCGGCTAATACCCAAGCTCGATAAGCGAACGAAGGGGAAGTTGGAGCAGGCCATAGCAATGCATTACTTTGTCTCGGGCACGTCGTTCAAGCGGGTCGAGGAAGAGAACCTGGTGATGGCTGTGAAGGCCCTTCGCCCAGATGCAGTGCTGCTGAACAGGAAGTTGCTGGCCGGATCATCGCTCAGCAGGGCGTACATCGACATGAAGAAGAAGGTTGACACCGTCCTGGACAATAGGACCGTTTGCCTGACATCTGATGCGTGGTCAAACATCAAGAATGGTCCAATTGTGGACTACATGGTCACATCGCCGCCCACAATGTTGCTTCTTGAGTCAGTGTCCACTGGGGAGCAGGGCCACAACACTGACTGGATCGCCTCGGATCTTGAACGTGTGATGGCGTCCCATCCGAAGACTACATTCGCTGGCGCGGTCAGCGACAACACATCCACCAACAGGAATGCGTGGGAACAGCTCTCGAAGGCTGTACGCCGCATGGTCTGCGTTTGCTGGTCAAGGACATATTCTCTGTCACGAAGACGAGGAAAGCCGGCCAATCAGAACACACATACTCGATCGACTATCCATTCCTGTACCTGCTTGAGTTCAGCGTGGGGTGCAAGGACACGGTCAAATTGTTTCACAATACTCACGTTCTCAAGGCAGCTGCAGGCTGAACAGAAGATCGCTGGCGTTCGAGCGTTGGTCCGTCCGGCTCCTACACGTTGAGGAACGATCAAAGGCTGTTGCGAGATGCTGTTGTCGTTGGAGAGGGTTCTGCATTCCATTGTCACAGCTCGCGACTTCATCAAGGGGACGGCAGCTCAGAATGCGAATCAAGACCATCATTACGAGCGACAACTTCGTCTCTCTGTTGCAGAAGTCCCTTGCCATTCTCACGCCCATCGATGCATCGATTGTCAAATATCAATCCGAATCCGTACCAGTCTC